ATTTGCCCTCCCTAGAACATAGGTAACGCCTAATATTCAGCCAACAACTCACGCTTAACATGCACACAAGCTCATGCCCATCTCGCGGTCTAACAGCTTATCGCATTCAGCTGGCCATGATATAGTCCCAGCACGCTTCCCTCTCATACAACAAGTTCGCAAGAACGTTTAAGCCCAAGCACGTTTCCTTCATTCACATGTTTCATGTTTTCGGCTGACATCCCACCAAGACCACGAGGGATCGGGGCACAACGTTACTAACGAGGCATTCGTTTCCAACACGCTCAAAAAAGTCACTCCAACGACCAACCGCCCTCAGAGGCGTCCAAGAATCCCAGCGGTCCGACCCGCCCTATGCAAAATTCTCCCCATTAACACTAGCACAATCACGCTCGCGAAAAGATAGGCTACTAAACACTGAAGTAACTAAGTATGCGAGCGAAACGTCCAAAAGTCGGAGATAACCCGCGGCACCAAACGGTGGCGGTTCAACGCTTCAAGTGTGCAAAAGAGAACGTTACAAGTTCACAAGGCACGTCAATGCCAAATTCGAAGTGGCATACAACCCCCCATCACCACGATTAAGGGGCAAAACGTGCACAAAATAGAGGACATCCAGCGGTCCTCGAGTAGCAAATGTCACAAAGCAAACTGAGAAACATACACAAGGCATCTTAAACTTGAGGAGATGCGCCACCCTCAGGGGCGGTCTCTTCATCTTCTTCTCCTTCGTCTTTTTCCGAGTTGACATCAGAATCGGTCCACGCACCAACGGCGTCCCAAATCTAATCCGTGTTCCAAACCGCGTCAGGCTGCTCACGACGGAACCAGTGCCTGATGGCATCCACCGCATTGCCCACCATGGACTTGTACTTCTCGTTGTCAAGCAACACGAACTCGTCTGACTTCAAGTAGGCGGGTCCCGCCTCAGCCCGGGCGGCGGCCAGCTCCGCCTCGCGGTTCTCTTCCCAAGTCGCCTTCTCAATCTTCAAGGCGGCCAGCTATGTCCGCAGCGCCTCCTGTTCTTCCAGCAGGGTCTTCTCCAGCTCCGCAGACTTTAGGGCCTTCTCGCGGAAGCGGTCCCTCTCTTCACCGACAGCGTTGACCGCCCCCTTCTTGGCCAGCAACTCTTCCTCCTTCTTGGCCAGTCGCTCCTCAAACTCACGCTTCACCTGCGGTCTCAACTTACCCATCATAGTCTCCCGCCCTTCATCGGCGCTTTTCTTCAGCTTCGCTATCTCAACGGCATTGTCCTCCACAGTCCGGGACAGACGGTCATTCAACAGAATGACCTGCGAGAACCCAATCTGAGCCTGTCAACGGCATACACATGATTAGCCAGCAAACAACAGATTGCGTGACAAAACATCCACAACGAATTACCACTTACCGAAAAGAAGAACCGCGAAGCGGTCTCTGCAAGTCTCCTGTGACTGTCCAAAGCTGAAGGGGTGTACTCGGAAGGCATAACGAGGTGATCACTAATAGTATGCAAAGCAAACTCAGCCGCCTCCCCATCCGTGGCCGCCTGAGTCGACACCTCTATAGAACTCTGTTCCTCCCCGCGCTTCACGCCCTTTCCTCGACCAGCCGCCTTCCGAGGCGGAGAACTGGCCTTTGCTCTTTTGCTAGCTGGCCGGATAGCGGTCTTCTCGGCCACCCTCTTGGAGCCGCCCCTCCCGACCACATCAGCTGGAGCCGCCATAGGTTGCACCGGCGGCGGTTGAGCAGCAGAGACACCAATATCCCCGACCGCCACGGACGAGCTTCCACCTCGGCCGACTCCGGTCTTCACCACTACCCTTCGCTTCTTCGGACGAACCGCATCCGCCAGAGCCCTCAAACCTGGCAAAAGAAAGCATAAGTAAACATACATGAGAAGAGGGACATATTCAAGCAGAAAAATGCAGCACTAACCATAGAATTTGCGAACGTGCTGGTATGCACTCCCGGGACCGCTAGGAAAGACTCGCAGCTGAAACCCTTCTACAAGGCGGTCTACGTGATCTCTCACTAACTGTGGAAACTGGGTCGAAGCACACCAGTCGTCCTTCGATCCCACCACGTACCCCGCCAAAGGCGCAGTATCGCCATGGTACCATTTCCATGAGGGACGTGCGAAGAAAAACTCCTTGTACCATGGAGAATCAAGCTTCGGCGACCCCGTTACAAACCCCACGGCGTTCTCACGCCGACCGATAGACCAACAGTTGGTCGAATCCCTAATATTATAAATCAGTCGGAATGCATCAAAGGAAGGGGTCTCCCCAAGGCGTTTACACGCGTACCGATACATGACCGACTGAAAAATAACAGAAGGGGACAAGCGCCCAAGAGTACACTGAAGGAGGTGCAAAGTCTTAGTAAGAATAGGGTCTAAGGGGAACCGCAATCCCAACTTAACGTGCTCCACGTGAATAGGGATCCAACCCTCGGGGCATGACCCAGACCTACTTGTCTCCGTAGGAGCCGCATACTGCCAATCAGTAGGTAAACTCAATGCGTTCAAACGTTGAAGCACCTGACCCGGCCTCAAGGTCGCCTCGTGCGGAGGTCCATGAGAAAATACGCCGGTGGGAACCGCGGCCCCGTCCCACATTCCCTCGTGATGAAGCACCGTATAGGTAGAATCCGCAATGGCCACCAAAGGCGATCCCTTGTCATCAGAGTCAACTGCTTCCACAGAGGACGAGGTACTCGCCAGCGCCTCCGAACGCTCTTCACCACTACCAACCGCATCATCCACATTCAGCGTATCACTATCTAAGTCTAAACCCCCAAACTCACCCAGATTGTCCCCAACCGCGGACGAAGTGGCCACAACCCCAACTGGTACAGGTCGGATGTTAGCAAAAGAAAAATCTAAACTTAAAGCGTCCTCGATCACACAATCGTCCAATTCAGAACCACCCCCAAAGTACAATTCAAGTCCAGACAAATCCCACACGCAATCAGAGGCGTGTTGGACAGGGGCAGAACGAGCCATACCTTGCGCAGCGGTCGCGGACCCGCCAGAGGTGCCCACTGACTTCTTCCCGGTGGCAGGGGAAAGCGGCGGAGCAATGAAGATCGACGGCGGCTTCCCCATGCAGACCTCGGGGGCAGTGGGCGCATCGGACACAACCTCCGTGGCGGCAGCTAGAGGCGCGCCTATCCCGGCCGACGAAGCTAGGCCTCCGCACGACATCTAGCGCCGACGAGGAAGAGGGAAAGGCCGACGTCCCGAGCCGGAATAAACCCAAAAGAAAAGCACACAAGTCAAAGGCAAACGAGGATGCGGGAAACAAAGGAGAAAGAAGCTCCGAAACTCCCTCGAAAGTACAAGCACTCGGGCTTTTAAAGAGGGGCGACGACGGCGAAGCTCAGAGCTCCGCAGAAAGTTGCAGACGACCCAAGGAGGAAGACGACGGAGAGTTTTCCCCAAATGAAGAAACACAATGGCGGAAACAGTGCGCCTCTCCCCATTTAAAGCAAACTCTCAAGGGGCAAAAGTCTGACCTTGTCAGAGCGCGAAAATCGATGCCACCACGTGGAACAACCGAGCGCGGTTGTAAACCGCCCATCGTACAAACAAGTCGGTAAAGCCGCCCCTTAGGCGTTCGAACGCCACGCCTCCGCGGCCAGGGGCAAGCAGATAATCATAGGCCGAGCGACCCAAGACCGCTCCATGGCGACAAAAAACAGTTAGCCGCGAAAACCTAACGATCATCACGACTAAGGGGCAAATGTTGGGCCAACCATGGAGTCTCTTGGGCCGACAGGTCCATGACCTTGGACGCCCGACAGGGCATTAATTATCCTCACTCCGACATCCTCTAGTATAAATACCCACTCATGGGACACATTTGGGGTAACTTCTATCTACTCCATTCTCTCTCTTATTCACTATATCCACTTCTCTCACTAACTTAGGCATCGGAGGAGGTCCCAGGGCTCCCCTGAGGACCTTTGTTGCAGGACTTCGAAGGTTGCCTCTCATCCTCCCAAGACCGCACGAAGACTGTGAAGCCTCGCAAACCGCCCGGTACATTCCAGGCATAAACACTTTAGTTTAGAGTTTTTTTATATTTTAATGAAACTTTACACTTGTAGGTTTTCATGTCTTTTTTCAAATAAAATCATTGGGGCTATAGAAAATTTAGTATAAATTTAGAGTAATGTTTTGAATATGTTCATCTGAATCATTTTCCTAGTTACACAAAATCCTATTATTAAATAAACCTAGACATTATTTTAAATAGCACTGGGCCAAATACCTAAATCGAAAAATTTTATAAGCACTAAACTATCTCTGGATCCGGAGGAGGGCTGGGCCGGGGCCTGGGTTGGCTCAGCCCTGGATCCGCCACTGCCATTGAGGCGAGGATGGGCTATCCAGTAGGAGAAGCCATAAATAGGCTAACGAAACCCGTTCCATGTAGGATGGAAGGCGCATGAAGACAAAACACTAAAGGCTCCAAAGAAGTCCAGGCTGTCAAACGGTCCCCCACCTGCAAGCGTCTACCAGTCGTTAGAAGCCTGACAAGGTGGTTGAGGCATCTGACAAAAATGAAGGTACAAGGCATTAAATGCGACGATGATGTGGAGTAGATCAACCTCGAGTTGTGTGAGTATAAATAGAGGCCTAAACTCACTTACTACACACTTCTCTCTCTAGAAAGAAAACTGACTTGATCGTCGGAGGGCTAACGAGTCCAGGCGCCCCCCTCTGTGTTCTTGTGTATAGGCCAGGCGCCTATCATCGAAGGAGCGGGTTCAATGATGAGGTATCAAGACTCAAACATATTACTCATGTTAAGCACGGTAGATTACTCGCGCTATTTTGAGCCCCACTAGTACTAACTGTTGTGGTTTTAATGCAACGGATGATTAGAACTAAACATGTTTTAAATAGTCTACGCAGCTAATTTTGAGAAAGTTGATAAATGGAGGACTCCTTGGTAATTGTCCATATCACGACTAATATCTTGCTGAACTCACGCGACGGTTAACAGAAACAATAGTATCATAACTTTTCTCCCCTAATTTTCGCTTCCCCCTCTCTCTGTGCGGGTGGCAACACACCAGATCTAGGGTTTTCAGCTTAGCTTGAACCCAGAAACATGCACCTCACACTGGAATTTGGGTAAGTTTTTTCTAACTTTCTCCCTCTCAGCTGACTGGTTCATTTTACACTTGGGTAATTATTTGAAGTGAACCACTTTGGCTTAGTTATTTCCAGAACACAGAAGAATGCCTGAAAAGAGTTCCATTGATTGTTCAGATTGTTTATGGGGTGGAATTTCAACTTTCTTACGCGTTGCTCGGGAATTTTTCTCTAGCTGTTTTTATCAGCCTGATGATCTCCCTCTGCAAAGCATAGGCTGGACGCGTACTCTCTTTTCTAATACATAGGAATCTATATTTGATTGGGAATGTGACAATGATATGAGTCTTGGGCTTATGGGTTTTTTCTTGGCTCTGCATACTTGCTTAATCTGTACGAAGCATATTGTGTAGATTCCGGTTGGCCCCTTTTTAACCTTCCTTGTTAGTTGTCCATCAACCGTCATAAGCTGCTTTGAGATTGATCTGCGGGCTTCAGCCCTGAATTTATATGCTTGTATGCATCATCTCGTATTCAAGCTCATTGTTTCTTTGTTATGCCCTCCTTTTCTATCTCTGGTCTACCGGTAGTGATGTAGCTTGCTGCTAATGGATATTGCAGTGGGGGGTTGGAGCTTCTTTGTGATTCAGTGAAGATACATAATGTGGATGTGGAACTTAAAAAAGGATTGGAGAAGGTAAGCCTTTTTCTTGGAAAGGCAATAAGAGTTAATTTTAATCCTTCTTCTGTCACTCTGAGCGCTTAACATATACAGACTATGTTTCCTGGTCAATTTGCAGTTAACAATGAAAGATTTGCTTGCTTGGGTTCGTACCAATTTGATCAAGGAGAGGCCTGAAATGTTCATGAAAGGTGATACCGTGTAAGTTTATAACTCGATCAACCAAGTCAAAAGGGTTCAGGGCTTGGAAGTTCCATTGGTAGTTCTGGAGTATTGATGTTCTTCTTTGAGTTCAATTTGGATGGTCTAGAAAGCATATCCCGAATGGATGCTTTTATTCTGAAACTTGCATATACCTTATGATCACCCTGGTGTTTGCCAAACAGGAGACCTGGCGTTCTTGTTCTGGTGAACGACTGTGATTGGGAGCTCAGTGGGCAGCTTGAAACTACACTGCAAGAGAAGGATGTGGTGGTTTTCATTTCAACCTTGCATGGTGGCTAAAAGCCTAAGTGCAGCAGCGAGCTTCTTTCAGTCATTCGTGGTACTCTTTAAACATACATAAAATCTCAACCTGCGTTTCCCTGAAACTTAATTGCCAGGGTATCCCTGCAAAAGTTTGAAGCTCTACCTGTAGTCTGTTTGTACTCCCTTCATAACCCAGTTCTCCAGCAACTTGTTTTTAACTTTTCACTTTACCTGTTGTTGCAATTTACTAATAGTATAAGATAGCAAAAGATGAGGTTCTGGGTTGACTTCTGGGTTTTTGGTCGTCGGTTTCAGATTGAAACCCATTGAAACCCCTGACCACCGTCGCTAAACCTTCCCATGCTTCTGGTTCTGCCACCGGGAAAACAAAACTGATTCTAATCCAATTCGTTATTTAGCAGTGAAGAACACATTCAACCAGCATTGTTGATGGATTTGGGCGTTGAACTGGAGATCTGGAAAAGGAATTGGGCGTTGATGGATTTTCGAAGGCGTTGATGGGCAATGGTGGCTATGATGGATTATCGTTTGCGATGATGATTATTGGTCGCATACCCCTCCGTCCCTTCCAATCCCTCCAATCCCAGTGCATTTACAAGTTCAATTATTGGTCAAAAGCTTGTTTGTATGGCGTGCGAGTGATGAGGTGATGGAAAGGGTCGGTCACGGGAAGTGGCGGGTTTTATGATGTGTTGCGTCGGATTTTAATTTTTTTAGTTACGTCAACAAAAAATCATCTATCTTGACAATTAGTAATAAATTTTAAAAGGTTGGTCTTGCTTCATTTCAAATTTCTTGTAACGAGAGTGAAAGTTGGAAGAGTATTTTTTTCTTCACAATTATTTATTTATTTTATATATAATGATAGCAACTAGATCTGGCAATCATGTCGGGTTGGGTAATTTCGGGCTGGGGCCTTTGGTTACGGGTTGGGTTACAGGTGGTTTTGGGTTATGAGTGTTCTCTGAAACAATATCAAACGTTGTTCTTATTTTCTTAAAGAACACAAATTTTCACATATACGTGACAATAGTTTACCTAATACATGTCAATTAACATATTCTCAAATCCTCACAATGAAATTAAATACAAATTGCAAAAATGGTCAAAAAACAATCACAAGAGTAATACTACTACAAAAAACACATGATATTTGATTATTCTTAAACTCCAAATATGTCATTCAATTCTTGTAAATTTTTTTAAACATCTCACCAATGTATCAGGGATTTTTATCATTTTGGGAGGGGTTAATTGCATGGTTGGTCACTGAGATTACAAAAAACTTTCAAGTTTGGTCACTCGAAATATTTAAATCCATTGATGGTACTTCAGTTTACGCAAACCGTTCACGTTTGGTCACTCTCTGTCCAACTCCGTTAACTTTGGCTGATGTGGCAGTCAACTCTCAAAGTTGACTGTTAACTTAGTGACGTGGCAACTAAAAAATTATTAAAAAATAAAATAATAAATTTTAATATTTTCCACCTCATTATTACATTCATTAAAAAAAATAAAAAACTTAATTTCTTTTCTACAAACCCCATACCCTACCAGACCCAACCTCCACCGCCGCCGCGAAATCCGACCACCATAGCAACCCTAATTTCTTTTATACATCCGCGATTTCAGCAGCAAGATCATCTACAGCTACCAATTGGAGGGACACAGTCTCTTCCAACATGCCTCCCGACCCACTCAATCCCGAGTAGCTACCGACCGTGTGCGGCAAAATCGTGGCAGAGTACTCTGAGGAAATGGTGAAATTGGGGGATCCACCTGAGCTGCTTCCTTTAAGCGGAAAAAATCCCAGAATACTCTAATTATTAAAAAAAATTCTCAAAATATAGTACTTATAAAATTAATTCCCAAAGTACAGCAGTTTCAACATCACTGTCTTTGTCTAAGACAGTGATGTTGATCACCGTTTTGGTCTAAAACGATGATACATCACCGCTTTTGACAAAAGCAGTGATGCTATCACCCCTTTCAAGGCTGACGGTGATAACATGACCGTTGATGAGGGAAGCAGTGAGGGCGTTCACCGTTGGATCCAAAGGCGGTGAAGTGGCGCGGATCGCTGACGTGGACGCGCGCGGGCACTTCACCGCTGAAGACCAAAGCGGTGATAGCCCCGCTTTCCACGTCAGCGATCCGCCCCACCCGCGCCTTCACCGCTGCCGTCCGATGCAGTCATGCGCGGATTGTGGTTTTTCTCCACAATCCGACGCATCACACGCCCCACGTCACCTATCCGTGTCATCACCTCCTTTGTTGGACGCAGTGATGTCACTGTGTTTCTTCGGGGCGGTGATTAATGCCCAAGACTTTTCCCAGCCCCCAAACACTATAAATACCCATCCCCCCCCCCCCCCCACCCCCCTCATTCCAAACCACATCACCACTTTATACTTCTTTCTCCCTCCATTACTTCACTCTAGTTTCGTTCTAAGTATGCTCTGTGGTTGCGGCTAAGTCCGATCTTCCGCTTCAGAAAGAATTACTAGAGTTTTTGTTTTGTTGTTTTGTCGATACTCTCGCTAGCTTTTCGGCAAAAAATGGACGAAGAGGCTTTGAGAGTACGTAAATTTATTTAATTCTTTTGTGATTTTTTTTTACATGGGTGCTAAAATTTAAATTGATTTGATTTCATATTTTTTTACAGATGGGTGCTGAGATATACGACCCTAGATTGTATATCGATCCTGGCCCAAGGGATCGAAGGTATTTAACCGGGCAAGATCAACATCGCTCTCGTTCAATTTGGAACAATAATCCGGTAGACACACTAGAATTATTTCAATAGTTTAAAGTTTTTATTTTGCTTTCTAAGTTTTTATTTTGCTTTCTATTGACTGACAATATTGTGTTTTTTGTTTTGTAGGAATCACTTATTCCCATCAGTCATCGAGGGACATGTCGATTGCCCCGTTGGCATCCTCGACTGCAGCCCTATCTAGAGAGGGCGGGATTGCACAATCTGAGGCACTTTATGAGGCTTGATATTGACAACGATCTGCTGACGGCAATGGCAGAGCGATGGCGCCCTGAGCTGCATACCTTCCACTTTCCCGAGGGTGAAATGACGATCACCCTCAAAGATGTTGCCATCCTCACCGGGCTCCCGATCACCGGAGATGCCACCATCGACAACTCGAGAAAACCAGAAGATGGTTGGGGGCCACTAATTCAGCAACGTTTGGGGTTCAACATGCCGACCACCACGCCCGTCGAAGGGGTTGGGCATCCACCACTGAATGCGGGGCAAGTATCGATCCCGTGGCTTGTTGACCACATCCAATTGGAGGTTAATATAGGCCCGGATACTCCTGAAGATCAGGTGGAGCGGTATGCACGTGTATACCTAATTGGCTTGGTTGGTGGGTTTCTGTTCCCCGACAAGTCAAATAAGTGGATACAAGGCATGTGGTTCCCTATGCTCCTCGGTGACTGGGACGAGATCGGGAAAAAAAGTTGGGTTCGGCCGTCTTGGCTGGGATCTACCGAGAGTTGTGTACTTGCTCGAGGTTGGGAGCGAAACAAGCTGGTGGTGCGATGTTCATACTTCAGCTCTGGGCATGGGAGCATCTTCCGTTTCTCGCACCTCAAGACCCTCGGGAATTCTGGTTGCCAGATGATGAGCTACGATTTGTAGCAAATCCCCCATATGGTTTCAAGTAAGTTCAATTTAAGTTGAATTTATTTTAGATATGCAATGGTAGCTAGTTAGGTGAATTTAGATTTTAGTGAACTTAGTGAACTTAGTATGCAATTTTAAGTATGCAATTATAGTATTTTAGTGAACTTAGCTATCTTCCAACTAAGCGAATTTAGAGACATTTTAAGTCTGCAATTATAGTATTTTAGTGAATTTAGATATCTTCCAAGTAAGCGAATTTGGATTTATTCTAACCAAATCGTATTTAGCTAATTTATATTATTGCCAAGTAAGGAATTTTATTTCAATTTAGATGCTTCCATACAATCATACTTAACAAGTAAACATCTCTACTTTAAAAATTGCTTATATATGTACTTTTGCTTAATTAGGTGGATCGGAGCAAATACAAACGACCACCAGCCCGAGCACTCTTTACTGTTTTATCGTGCTGAATTTGATAAGCCTTGGTGGAACCAGGTAAAAATATAAAATGTCATGATTTTCAATTTATTAGGTGGAGTGGATATAATTTTTACTAATTCCATGAATTATAATGATTGTAGGCGGTATGGGATCCATATCCAAATGAAGTGGTTGAGTTGCATCGTCTTAGACATCCCGAGGATCAAGAGACATGGTTGTGCAAGGTGCCCTTAATCTGCTGGTACATGGTGGAGTGGCACCTGCCCGATCGATCTTTGAGGCAATATCGATTGGAGCAACCAATTCCAGCATCCCCACCTCAAGGGTTCAGGGAGCTCCACGCCATTGACCTACGCTACAACAAAAAGGATTGGACCCGCAAGCATGAATTCTACATCAACATATGGGAGAATAGAAATCAGTGGGTGGTCCAAGGGGAGCCGGAGACAAGGCCAATGGGGTACCACGATGGCTACATGCGGTGGTATCGGAACTTCACCCTAAGATGGGTGTCAAAGCAAGGTGCTGTTTGGGGCGCAGTGGTAAGTGAATTCCATTTTGGCCTCTTTGTTTTAATTTTTGTAGTATGATTATTAGATTTTGAGGATCATTATTAGATTTGAGGATCATTCTTAGATTTAATGTTAGTTAATTTTGTACAACAATTTATTAGGTTGACGGTTTGGAGCATGCGAAGCACACTGTCGAGAGTGCACCCACCATGGATGAGCGAAAGACATCTTTTTTGCGCAGGCTTTTCAACAACCTGCTTTGTTGTACCAGAGAGCAAAGGAGGGATGTCATATTATACCCTTCAGTGCCTGCTCCGGCCCGACCTTCATTCCGTGCTGATGAGAGGATCGTGCCTCCACAAGAGCCCCCACGGAGGAGCAGAAGAAGGGTGAGAGAAAACATTGAAGAGCTTCGTCCGTCTCAACAAACTCAACTTCCTGAACCATGGCCACATTGTGAGTGGGCTACTAGTACTGAGGGCACCGGAGGGTCGTCAAGCTATGCCCCGACTCAGGAACATGACATGTTCATCCAAGGCACCCCTCACTTCCACCATCAGCAACAAACTACTCAGTATCAGACCCCGCAACAACACCATACATCATCGACTTTCTACCACGCTTCTGGTCCATCTCAGCAACCACCACCCCCACCACCTGTCTACACTCCGGTGGGTGGTCGGGTTAAGAGGAATCCGCGCGCAGTTGTCCAGCGGGCTCGTGAAGAAGGAGGAGGTAGAGAGGGCGGAAGAAGGGGCCGAGGAGGTCGTGGAGGAAGAGGAAGAGGAAGAGAAGGGGAAGTGGAGGGAAATGAAGACAACCAGTGAACTATCTATGTCGTTCTAATTTAGTTTGGTCTTGTGTTGTTTTCCATGAACTACCTATGTTTCTAAATTTGGTTTCGGATTGTGTTGTTTTCCATGAACTATCTATGTCGTCTAAATTTGGTTGGTTTTACCCCCCATGTTGTACCAAAATGAACAACAAACGCCCTTTATTACAATCACTCAACAAGATTAAAACAAGAAGTCCAAATTAAACATCACAACAACGAAAATTACTCAACAAGATTAAAACAAGGAAGTCCAACTTAAACATCACAACAACGAAAACTATTCAACAAGATTAAAACAAGGAAGTGAACAACAACAACATCAAGGTTGGTTCGGAATTGGCCCCGAATCTTGCTCTAGAGGTGGACCTGGGCAACGCCTCTTGTCATGACCCGGTTGTCTGCACTT